ACACATATTTGCTAACTTATTACAATCTCTATTAACATAAACAAATAAAACTTGTTTGAAATTAGTAAGAAAGTCTAACTCCCTCCAATTAAGATTTCCTCCTTTTACTTCACCTTTATTCAACATAGCTCTACGAAACACTTCAATGATGTTGTTGTTGTTTCCTTCAATAATAATGACATTGAACTCAAGCATCCAATCTTGAATGAACCTTCTCAATGCAAGAATAGCTTGAAACCAAAGGCACCCATAAATCTTCCTTTAAAATCACGAAATACCCCTCCTACACTTGCTCTGTTCGAACTCCATAAGGAAACATCCACATTGACTTTAATCCAATTGAGAGGTGGGGGATGCCAGAAGGACGAGACAGGTGAATTAGGTGATTAGCATCCCAGTTCTCCCAATTATGATCCTTTCAAAAGGAAACTACAACCAAACTGATACAGTTAGCTACTATGAAAGAAGAACTATCCTATGATTTACCATGGACCAGTTTGTTCCTGCTCTTCCAGCATCCATACACAACCGAACACAATATTTTTCCCACAAAAAGGATTAGAGGAGGCAAGTTGTTTTAGAGAAATAATACATTCAGCAAAAGAACCATATTCTGGAATATTGAAACCCCAATTAGCAAGAATACTGAAAACTTAAGAGATCTTATGACAGGTCGAAGCAACATGGTTCATATCTTTAATGGTTGAGCATCCTCTTGGACAACCATTGATCTCTAAAAGATTTCTATTAAATAAGAAACTGAATGAAGGAATAACATTCCTGTTTAATCGCCACCAAAAAAAAGTTCAACAGCTGGTTTTAGCTCGAGTGTATTAATCCAGCTATAATGATCAATCTCATTATAACTTTCCATCAATTTATCAAAAGCTAAAGAAGAGATAGACTTTCCATTAAATCTAAAAGAAAATTCCAAAGAATCTTCTACTCTTCAGCATGAATCAGGACTGACAGCACAAGCACCGTCAACCAATGTCAAAAAATCTGTCTCAATTGGCATTCATCTCATTTCCCATTTATGATGA